TAATTACAGTTGAGCTGTAATTAAATAGGGGAGAATTTGCCCCAAAACCTGTGTTCTTCTTAATCCACATGCAGGGCTGGTAAATTATTACTACTCTGAAGACCAACTTAAAGATAAAGGCAGCTATAACTCTTACTAAGAATATTCAGCAAGAAGAAATCTTGCTAATATTGCATTGAACTGTCATTCAAATCAGGCAAAATTCCAGGGAGGATCTGTGGCAGTGACAGGAAAATCTATTTTCGTTTATTTTTACTTCCAAACAATAAGATGATTTTGTAGTCACTAAAAGCCTAACACTTAGAAACTATAATAATGATGTGTGTGTTTTCTTGTGTTTTCTTATTTTTTGTCTCACTACCTTGTTTAAATTTGTATGTTGTCTGAGAAATAGCTACTCTTATCAGCTGGTTTAGTTTTCAGCAGTAAGGGATGATTAAAAAAAATCCTAGTGTACAAATAATGATAAAAAAGTTAGACTTTTCTAAAAGTTACAGTAATAACTGTAGCTACTGCAGCTAATCCATTTACAGTATGTCCAAAGGCTGCACTGAATACTTACAGATAAGCCAGTGTGACTCAGGGTCTACTCCATTATAAAAAGCCCTTAAAATTGTGTAGTTGTCAGGGGACTGCTGATGACTGTGAGCCCAAGTGCTGGATATGTGCATGGTCCCGGTTGCCTCTTTTTGCTGTCGGTGTTACTGTATTAGACCCTGGCAGCAAACAGCCTGAATGCTTATAGCAACATCTAGAAGTACACAGAAAAAGTAATAGCTTTTACATGATCCTCTGCTGCTTTGCAGACCAGCTCAGAGAATCATCACCACTCTCTGCAGCCTGTGACGGGACTGGGAATGCCAGCTTGCCACCAAGACAAGGCTCTGTCTCTGAAGGAGGACGTTTAGTCAATCAGACAGAAATAAAAATAGGCAGCATATAAGAGTTTGAGGGATTTTAAAAGCATTTTTCATGTATATATGTGTTTTAAAGATTAGTATTTAGTGCATTGGTTGCAACTCAGTTATTCAGTATTCTTCTGAGGGCTTCTCCCTTGCAAGGAGAATCCATAGCACATATCACATCAGTCCATAGCAAAAATGCTGCATACACTAGACATTAAACATGCTGCTTCTTTTTATCATGGGGCCTTGAGGAGGACACATCTCAATTTCATCTTTGCTAAGTAGGGCTAATTGTTTCTCAACAATTCTGCACAACTGCAGTGAGATCTGCTGTCTGCAGACCTGTAGCTGGTACAGGAAAGGTCACACTACTTGATGTGACCTGAGCACGCTCAAGGAGGACAAGTGCTTTTGTAGATAGTTTAATTCTGTCTTTGGGACTTGTAGAACTGCCACTGGGAGTGATGTCAACAGCTTGCTAAATCTTCCCATATCCGGAGGTCTGAGTGAGACCTTCTGACTAAACTGAGAGTTATTCTTCAGCACTCTGTATTCTTGGTATTCCTGTGTGACTGGATTCCATTTGAAATCAATTTTACTGGTTTGTGGAGATCTAAAAAGACTCCTTTGTCCTGTTAGATTCAAAATGTCAGTCTATACCTCACATGTGCCCTGTGAGTAGAGTTTCCACAAAGTATCAAAAATTACCAGGCAATCAAGATTTTGCTGGGCTGCCTTTATGATGGAAAAGTATGGGTTTTTTTCCTGAAAACTTGTTTATTGTATCTCCACATCTTTTTAAAAATTCAGAAAATGTGGTCTTACCTGTTTGGAGATTAACACTAGAGAAATATGTGCTTATTTAGTGGGACATTTTGCCAACAGTAGATACCACTAATGCTCCAATTTAAGGTTTGCACAGTGACCTGTAAATTCACAAGTGACAAATCATGTCTTACTCCCTGTCACTCTGACAGCTACAGCATGTTCAAGTTAACAACAAGAAATAAGAAAATTAAGATGGCAGTGTGTTTTCTTTGACAGGTCAAGTAATCTGTAACTTGCTTCTCTTTCGCAGAACTTCATAGCCTGAACATGCTAATATTAGAGAACTTCTGTGAAAGATCTCAGTTACCAGTGATTCCTTAACAGAAGTGAAATGGAAATAGTTAGATAATGGGTGTATTTCTTTCTAAATAATCAAATTATTTCTGCCAAAATGTTGATGCAAGGTTTGGATTTGTCTTGAGTTTTAAGTTATTTCCCATGTAAATAAATACACCAAGTCTGGGGAGGGCTGTAGTAGCTATGAGTCAATGTAGAAACTAGACAGAGACTTCTAAAAGAAAAGGAAAAGCAGTCATGGGTATTCATTGTATCCACCTCTTGATTACAGAATCAACAGGGCCATAATGGGGAAATATGATAAACAGAAGAACTGAACTCGACAGCTCCTCCACGCGGGGCAAAGACATGCATTGTCTGTGCAAGATGTGCCCCTAGTGTGTCTGTATTACTTTGTATAAAGGCCTCATATTCTTTGTTGGGCTGGAAGTGAAAGAGGCAGACAGCTCACAGCTCAGGGACTATAAGGTAGTCTGCATTGCTGTCTTGGTGAGAAGGAGTTTCTAGCGAACATGGAGAGGAGCTGAGAGGCTTCCAGTCTCTGCAGGCTCTGGAGAGTCAAGGTGACGTTCATTTGGCCACGCTAGAGCAAAGGAGAAATAACCTCAATGAAAAGATCAGGGAGACTGTATCTCTGTTTCTACCAAGGTCTAAGTCTGTATATTTTGAAAGCTTGCACTCCGTATATGTAACTGCAGAAAATGAAGAGCCTGGACACATTATGTTGGTACAGACTGTTACATCTAGTTCTGTTTAAAAAGATTCAGTAATATTTCAGCTTTTTGTTTTGTTAGTGGTACAAGTAAAGGTGGTGTGCTGAGGAACACTTCCTGAGCATCCTCCTAATGTAATTTGTGCAGTTATTCTTTTAGAGCTGGCTACAACTTCCTTTCTCTATCTCTCATCTTCCTGGAGGGTGGGAGGGTAGAATTTCAGACAAAAGAAGTCCACTAATCCCTCTTGTCCTCACTGCCCACCCCAGTGCACTTTTCCGATCCATGTTTCTGCTTTTCCTACGTGTGCTGCCCTTCAGGAATTTCAGGTGGAGCTGTTGCCTTTAATAAGGGGACAGCCTACTCAAAATACACTTTAGGCAGAGTCCTTAGCCCTGCTAATACAGGGCATGGTCACTGTTTTGGGAAAACCATGTTCTATAATGTTACCTTCTGATTTGTGTGACCCAAAGGGAAGTCAAAAGGTTTCCATCACTTCAAAAAGAGAGCCAAAGGAAGACTTTTTCCAGTTGATGCTCTCCAGACCCAAATTCCTGGATGACAGAGGAGGGTTTCCCCATGAACTGGAGGAAGACTTCTCGTCTGCTGCTTTTACAGCAGCAGAGAGGAGAAGGGGTATGGAGTACAGGGACGAGAAGAAGAACAACACAAAACTTGCGAGCAATTATGAAGGGCACACTTCTGATGTGTAACATGGGGTGAACTGGGGAATCTCAAGGAGAATGGAAAGCATGAATTTGTGTGTTAGGGAGATAAAGGAATTCATTCTAGTGCTCCTGCGCTGCATGTTTTTTGTCAGGCTGTCTGCAGAGATGAAGGGAACAGTATTGAATTAATTGGGGCAGTTTGTGTGTGGGAGAGCAGAACTAATTAGGACTGTGTGAGGATGCAAGGAGGATGGAAAATCATGTGTGTTTAGGGAGCAGAATCAATTAGGAACCTGCATTGGGGATTGTCCAGTTTTAAGATTGTTTGATTAGGAAAACTCTTTGGTACTTTGGGGAAACAGAAATCCTTTTTTTTTTTTTTAGATGATAGGGAGGCAGAACAGGATGAAGTAGGTAGAGCAAAGAAAGAATTGGCAGGAAACCTAACCTTAAGTGCTCTCACCTTCCTCCATCTAAAATTCAGTCCTTCCTCCCAAAATTCTCATCCTTTTTCCATCTTTAATGCAAAGGCAATTGAAAATGGCATAAGGAGAAGAAAGTGCCTTGCCTTCTTGACAAATCAAAGGGACAATGGCCTCCCTTCCATTTCCATACATTGACATTAAGTACTTAGGGCTGGTGTGCTCTTTTCTGTTCTTCTGTATAAACTTCAGGAGTGGGGAGAGAGAAGCTACAGATGAGCCACCTCAGCAGAGGGTTTTCTTCCCCTGCCAAAGGAGACTATGTGAAAAGTTTCACCCTATTCACAAGATTGCTAATTCACCCATTTCCAAATGAAAACTGCTGTGCAAATTAAAAGTAATTTTTCTCAGGGAGGCTTGATGTCAGCAAGCATAGATTCTATTTATATATGCTCATTCACAGGTATTTGTTTCTTTATATATCAATATTTTGAACTTTATGACACATTATGTTATCCAGTTTTGGGTTTTTTTAATTCTGTTTCTATAAACGTGTTCAGAAGGCCCTCTGCCCCAGTCTGAGGAACACAATTATTATAATAAACTGAGGTTTTAAATTTTGCAATGTAAAACAACTTGTGAGTAACTCTGTAAAAGAAGATTGAGGCATTAATGTTGTCTCAAAGTGACAGAGAAAAGGAAACTCATGTAAAATGAGATGCAAGCAATACCATGTGTTTTATGTTATGCTTTGATAATATTTTTCTCTCAGGTTAAGAGCCTTAACTACTGGGCTCTTCAAATCCTAGGAGATTTCTTTGGTAAAACCTCTAGACTTTTCAAAGCCTGATAAAAACTACTTAAAAAAAAAAAAAAAAAAAGAAAGAAAATAAAAATTATCAGCCCTTTGCCAGATTTTAGTAGGCGATGAGTCTCCCAGCTCAGGCGGGTGCATGCTGCTTGGCCTCTCCGCCCCTTCCTGTGGAGAACCTGATGACTTCCATTTGTTCCCCTCTGTGTTACATTTCCTGAGCTCATTCACAGCTGTCTTCATTATTCACAGCTCTGAACTGATGAAAGGAGGAAAGCAAACAAGTGTTTTATCTGTATGTTAATTGTGAGAGGGTTTGAGCTGTGGAGGTGGTGACCCTTGCTGTTGCCTTGCAGGAATGTCAGCTCTGCTGGAGAGGAGGCCCGCAGAAGAATGAGGGAGTGTGATGGCCTGACGGATGCATTGCTGTATGTGATCCAGTCTGCTCTGGGGAGCAGTGAAATTGATAGTAAGGTTTGTCATCTTTGTCTTTTCAGGAGTGAGAAATCTGGGTATATCAGGACTATAAAGTGGCAGGGTTTTTTTTAAAAAAAATGCATTGTGAGGGATGCCTTAGCGTAATTTAGCCCATTTTTTTCCTTTCCTTTCTGTTGAGCTGTGTACTTTTGTGTGCTAAGTGTTTGATTTGTGTCTACCTGTGTAGTGTGCACAGGTAGGCTTGCCATCCTCTCATTTGAGTTATTAAGGGAGAAGATATAATACTGCTTTAAGAAGAGAAAATACATCATATTCATGTAAACTTCCTTATACTGCTCTGCCAGGTTTACCTTAAAATTAATTTCTTGTCCATAGTATGAGATGGAGCTAAAAACAGTGAGGTAAGTTTACAAGCCAGACAAAGAAAAAAAAATGGGCAATTAGTAAGCAGTTTTGCAGTACTACCAGCATTATTTCTTCTTGGAAGAAAGTCAATAAATGTTTTCAATAACAACTGTTTTAAGATGTGTTTTTATGTCAACTTTACTTCTCTGAAGTACTAGGATATGAACATGCTTCTCCAAAGGTGAAAGGCACTGCCTAATTAAAAAAGACTTCAAGCATTTACAAATTGAAGGTTTGCAGAGAAGGAGAAAAGGGTTAGTTTCAAATACCTTTTGGTTTCAGTATATGGTGCTAAATTAATTACAGTTGCTGCTTTAGGGCAACCTTTATCCATTTGCAACCCCCCAAGAATCACAGGAGAGTTTGCCTGTTACATAGCAAAATTTTAAAGCCCATGGGTTTGTATTTCTAAATGATCCTTCGCAGATAGTAGACCATGGACCTCTGTGGGGGTTATAGATTGGAGAGGGATAACCTCCAGAACTTTCTGGCCTTTAGCCTGAAACAAATAGGTGACACTTACCTATGAGTTCAGGGGAGAGAGGGGGGAATTATGAGAGGTATGTAGCGTGTACAAAACCGCCCCAAAACATTCTCTCTCCCCCCCCCGCCCCCAACCCGTTAGTTTATAATCAGTTTTCCATTGATAAAAGTTCTGCAGAGTGACGGTCGGTCAGAGCAGGCCCACCCACAAGGTAGGCACCACACTTGCAGCGGGTTCAGGCTGCTGCCGGCCGCCTCCTGCAGCGCAGCCCCCAAAGGAAGGGGCGTTTTTACCTTCCTTGGCTTCAGAAGAGCTGAACCAGGCCTGTTTCAAAGCTCCCTGATTCAGCTTGCCTACCAGAAAGGAGAAGTTAGATGGACTTCACTTGGACAGGGTGAGAGGTAGATGGAGGAGGAAGGAGGGAGGAGGTCAATTTATGCCCCATCTTACAGCTCAGCTGCTGCTTTTTCAGCAGTTTCTTTGTAGGTGACCCAACTGATTTCAAGATAGCTTTACTGTTCAAAAGGCTAAATAAGGAGTGCAGTAAGCATCCTGTTCTGCCTCTTATTGTTAATATAGATTGTTCTGTGAATACTCTCGTTTGTAGCTGGGATGACTTGGAAGAACTGCAGGATAAGTCATATATGGAGGAAAAAATGAAGAAATGAGAGAAAAATTATTCTCCCTGCCTTAGTAGTTTTAACATCCTGTCTACCAGGTTTTTAACTGTATGACATAAAGCAATTATACAGCTAAATACAAAACACCAGTGTAGCCTCCCTCTTACCTTGCGTTTTTGTCCCAAAGTAGAATGTAATTTTAATTAAATTAAATATTTAAATAACTTACTCTAAATCACTTTTTAATCTAGTTTAAAAATGATACTATTATAACAAAAAATTGAACTTTAAAATAAAGTTAACAAATGTTGTTTTCCAAATGCCATGACAATTGCCCGAATAGATAATTTTGTAATACTGTTAGTGACTGAACACTGAAATATTGAAAAACAGGTCTCTGCTCTTGAAGGCTCTAAAAGAGCATGGGGTACTTGCAAGTGCATGCAGAGCTGTTGTTAAAGTCATTCCTCATGTTGGTGAAGTTAAGAGTGCATAAATCTTAGCAGCATACAAGCATCTTAGCAGCAGTGTTTCTTATTAAAAAAAAAGCTATGCTAATTCAAGGTAAAGTGTTAAAAATGAGTGACTTGGTAGACACAGTTACCTGACAAAGTTACTGTTCATAATTTTAATTTGATCTTTTAAAGTAGAAAGACTACTGAACTCAAATTTAGTCCCCTTACAATGAAACTGAGAAATATCTGTAGGAATGAGGAATACAAGGACCCTTGAACAAGTCAAGAAAGGAGTGAAGTCTGTCCAGCTGCATGACTAGAACCAGCTTTCTTGGCTTGAGAGTTCGCCTGACTGAAGGTGTCAGTTGCATTTGAGCCTCGGAATTTTGCTTCTCAGTTTTTAGTTTGAGGTAACATTGTCCTTGCAGTGGGCTCAACTTAGCTTATTTGTTTTCAACATAATGAGAATTTTAAGTGTGAAGACTATTATTTGTAAAAAGGGGAATTAAAATTCAGAACCCTAGTCAACAAACACAAAGCTTCAACTTCAGTACGATATGGCTGTTCAGAAGTAAATATTAGCAATAGTGAATAAAATTAACATATGGAAAAGGAAAAGAGGCAGCAAACTCCTTTAAAAACTTAAGGTCACTATGATGTCTTGCAAAGCTTTCAGGTATGAAAGGTTCACTAAGAACGCTTTCTACACACACATATATATTTCTACACAAGTTTATGTATTTGGCTGGAGATTTCAAATTATTACAAGTGTAATGTGAAATTTCATCTATGTTAAGAAATAAATAAATATTCCTATCTAGATGTTTCTTGGGTAGTCTGAGCTCAGTATCATCTCTGGAACTTAATGTCATCACAAAAAACATGTGCCAAATGCATACCTGGCATAAGCTCACACAATATATGAAAGTAAATGAATCCCCGTCTGTTTGCCTCACTGGTGAATATGGCAGAGTAAGACAGAGCCGAAAGCCTCACAGTGATTCTCTTCTGGGTTAATGGAGCAATAGAGCTGGGATGTAGTGACTATCACTTTTTATCTCCATGGAGCATTAGGAACAGTTGAAATATAGATAGATACAGGCTGGCTTTTTTTTAACCATACTTTCCCTGCCTGCAGAAAGTTAAGCTCATATCGTTATTAGGGATAGTCCAGCTGGATTGAACCAACTAAATGAGTAGGCTTCAAGCAAGTATAAACTGAACTTCTTTTAGACTTCCAGAAATTATGCTGAATTACCAGTGAATTTTCCTCCACTGGGTCTCATGGATTCCTGCCAGCATCTTCTACAGAAGGCACAACCTATTAGGGGGATAAATGGATGAAAAGGAAAGGCTGCCCACAAGGTATTTGCAGCCTGGCTGGAAGCAGTAAAAGCAGCAAGACTCTTGAGATGTCTAGTCATACTTCTGAGATTCAGGAAACATTATCTGTTCATGCTACAAGTACTTATGAAATGGAACTTGGATCCCATTTTTCTGGTAATTCATATAAAATTGATGCCAGAAAAAAGGTTATTTCTATTGCCATTTTCTGTTTGCAGCATTTTCTATTCACTGAGGTGGGAGTTTGCTGATATTCTGTGCATGTTCAGGTTCTCTTGATCACTTTTTACCTTGGCTTCTGTTTCTGTTGGGGCTCCAGCATGAAATTTAGGGTGACAATTAAAAAAACTCACAGAAAAATAACATACACACTACTGATTTCATAAAATTTTTTGAATCTCTTAAGCTGTGGTTACCTGGGGAGCACTCAGAAATGAGCGGATAAGAATTGTGCTGGGAAAATGTATGTGCAAAGATTGATGATATTTCTTCTGCTTTGTATACAGACTGAGCAAGGGAAGGATTTTAACTTTTTTCTGGTTTTGTTTTGTTTTGTTTTTTTCCCCACACTTTTCAGACCGTTGAAAACTGTGTGTGCATTTTGAGGAACCTCTCATACAGGCTAGCTGCAGAAACATCTCAGGGACAGCAGATGGGAACAGATGAACTTGATGGATTACTCTGTGGTGATACCAATGGAAAAGACACAGAGAGTTCAGGGTGTTGGGGGAAGAAGAAGAAGAAAAAGAAATCACAAGATCAGGTAATGAAAGTTACTTGCAGCTGCATTGCAAGTAGTTGAAGTGCCTATAATTTAATATATAAATTATAACAGTTGCCTTTGTTAAATAGCTGAGAGCCTAAAGCAGTGTCTGGCTCTGGAGTAACGAAAGGAAATGTGTTTGCTTCAGAAAGTTGAATGTTACATGGTGGCACCTGGAAACTGTAGTTATCGGTACGCTGTGAATACCATAAATAGTGTAAACTGCTCAGTCTATTAAAGGAAGGCATTTATGATGAAAAGTGTAAGTCTTAACATTCAGCTATAATCTGCATATACTTTTCACTGTCCTTCCACATGGCCACCTGCAAGCAAACACCAGGCTTAAATTTGTATACTTGTTTGCTTCAAAGTTAGTCTTGTACTCTGCCTCTGCATGTTGAGAGAAAACTGTACAGGACCGAATCAAGCAATATGAGTGAATGTTTAAAGAGTGTGCATATTTTGATATATTTAATGTCATTACCAAACAAAGATTAGGTAGTACAGTCTTGATAAGTTTCCTCAAGTTGCTGCAGGTTTTTAAGTGGATTGACTTTCAAAGTGTACTTATCTCCTTGTTCCCCCATTGAAATTTGGGGCATGCTGACAATGGTGTCACGGAGAAAGATGCTGTTGTATCAGTACACACTCTAAATAGGAATGAGAATGGCTACTGATTTATGAACTTTTTCAAATGACCTGTGCTGGCAGCAAGTGGTTCTCTGTCTCTTCCTTTGCCGTTTATTTCTGTTTCAGGTTGCTCAAAGGAACTCTTCATTTGAGTAAGCAATTAGGCTTACAGGGTATTTGCATAAATGACAGAAACCAGTATTGAAAATATTCCTGAGTTCATAAAGGGTAATTGTGTTAATGTGGAAAAGTTATAGGAACATTAACAAGCTAAGATTCAGGCACTGAAAAATGCGGCACTCACGACTAGTTAGCTTTTTATTTCACGTACTCTTCTAGTTTGACACTGCAGCCATCAGAAAACTGGAATTTATTATGGCCTTTTGTTGGGATTCCTCTATTAGGCTATAGTGAGATAAAAAGATAAAAGTAATTTTACCCCATAAAGCAGTCACCATCCATGTTCCTGAATTAACAGTTCCCACACACTACATTCGCAGTTATTCAAAGTGCAGGAACAAAAATAGCGTGTCTGGATATGAATGGGTCATGCTGCAACTTGCCTTTCTCTTTTGATGCTCTGTTTACCAACACACATGCATGCACACATACACACACTATATAAAGTCTTTTTTAACTCTTCCTTTTATATTCTTTCTGTGATTTCTGGATCTCAGGTTCATACTTTTAACTGTGTACCAGTGACTGTTTTATTGTTCCTGTCAGACTTGCTGTACTTTAAAGGTTCCCTATAGAAGATTTTTCTCCTCCAGGCCAAAAAAATAATCTCTTTTGGCTGATTTCCATTACAATCCACCAAGAGTGGTTCCAAAGAATGTTTATCAATATG